GTACATATGAAAGCACATCCAAACCTGCGGCCTGGTAGGCCGCCTGGTACTTACTGGAAGGAAGACCATCGTAATTCTCCCAAATTATTGTTATAATTTCGGTTGGATTTTTGATCAAAAAATCGGCAATAACTTTTAAGGTTTTTACAGAGTCGCCAGCATTCAACAAGGCACAGCTTGTATGACACAAGTGAATACCGTTTGGGTTGCTACTGTATTTCGGCGGATTATGCCCGTCAAGCATTAATGAGCGGATTCCAGCTTGAAGTTGGTCAGCAACTGAAGAGAATTGATTCTGTGCCGGATCAGGTATTGGTGTATATGAGAAAGGATTGTGTGTTCCTGGAAATCCGACGCTGGCGTAGGATCTCCCGCAGAGTTCGGCATATCCGTTACATACTTGGGCATTTAGTACGGAAGATTGAGACAAGAAGACTATTAGAGCTATAAATAAGTAGAATTGTCCCATGGTTATGGCTTTTCCTTCCTTGTTGATTTTTTCAGATGGGTGCGGGCTCGATATTTATAATTAATTTTGTTTGACAAAGTTTTTTTTTGTCTGCCCGAGTTGTTGATGTATAAGGTTATTAAATACATGAATTTTTGCGTAATAATCGGATACAATTTGGGTGCTTGTTATTTGATTAGGGTTAAAAAGACTACAATAATGTTGTGCCATTGTAAAGTCATCGGCTATTGTCATGCGTGACAAACACCACACATAAGATCGGCAATTACTTGATTTTGCCCTTGCCTTGTTCACAACAACAAGGACGATTCTGATTGCTTGATTTGTTTAATTCCATAGTGGGAACTGAAAAACACTTGACCAATTGAACACAAGCGCACATATCAAGCGTACCCGTTTTCGCCCCATTTTTTTTATAAACATGATCACGTATTGATAGACATAATCAGAAATAATCAAAATAAGGCATTTTTCAATGATTGTTCTTGTTATTTGTTACGTGCTGATGTTGTGTAAGGTGACGCAGTTTATGTAAACAGGATATGAAAAAAAAAAATGAGGTAGCAACTTGTAGAATACGCTATAATTCAGTAATTGTTGTCGAATGTTTATTTGTTTATTTTATTGTAATTTAATTTAAGTTTATTTTGATAGAAGTTGTTTAGAATGTTACTATGGAAACCAGTATAGCAGTTGACAAAGTTATAGCTGTCACGGTTTTTGCTGATGGTATATCATTTCGTGTACCCAAACAATGGCGTCATATCTGCTTTATGGAACATTCGAACCCCGCTTATAAGTTATGCACCTATAAATAGGGGCAGTATCGCAACCGAGAAAGTATTGTATTAATATAGTGATGTATTGTGATAACGTTTACTTTTTTCGTTCTTGCCGTCGTTGCAATTGACGAGTTCTGTTCGAATGCCAAGAACTCTTGCTATTGGTGTGTAACCCGTTACATATTGATCATAGGCCTTTTAGGAAATACCCCATTCATGAAAAACGAAGATCTGTTGTTTGTGTGTCACCCATTTACCTTATATGGTTAGCATGTAAGTAATAAAATGTGTTGCTCAATCGGGCAAACACTTACCTTTTCCATAGAAAGCTTGTCTAAAAAAAATATTTCTGGTCATGCGAAAGATATCAATAGATTTAACGTTATATAATTTTATTTAATAAAATACTTAAAATTTTCTCAACATATCGATTGTCACTTTTTTCAAGAATCTTAACTTGTTTTTTTCCCAAAAACGCTACCAATAAGGTTCTAACTGGTGCTTCTTCATTCGACGTTCCTTCTAAACCACACATAACTGTTTATACAAATTATTCTGATAGTAAAGAAAAACATGATTTAGTTAGAAAAGTGTCGAGATATAAATTTGTCCGAAAACGTGCGTGGCTATTTACATGTCTCTGTTGACAATCTAATAATTTGTAATAATAGCTTACACGCTCTACAACTTATTTTTTCCAAGTTTACGCTTTTCTAAAATAAAACATTTTCAAGTTTATTTCCACCACAGTCTATTTCACAAATTACGTAAGTCTAATTTTCTTCTAATTGTTGTCTCGCTCCAACAAGATAAAACGGCAATTATTATTACTTGAACATTTACCAATCAAGCTGGAATATTAATATTACAGAAGGTTGGGATTCGAGAAAATTTCAAAGCCTTTACTACTTTGTCTCAAATGTCCAAAAATTAACAGTACAAAAGAACGCGAACCGTACAAAAATATTGTGGCGGAATTGCACAGCCACACAACCAAAAAAAGAGTTTATATATAACGATAAAAAGAAACTAATTAAGAAATTAACCATTTGTACCGCATAGCCGCACAGCAGTCAGTGCCATGTCTAAATCTGGAGAGTGTGTCAGCAAAGATAGATATTTGATTTATTGCGACTGAATTATTAAAAATAGCATTCCACATCATATCGTACGGTTGTAATTGATAACTCTGTTTTTAATTACAATAATGTCATATTAATATCAGTGGCTATTGACATTTTGATTTTTTTGTTTTCACCATATACGATGGGTGACCAAAGTCTCCGACCACCCCTTAAAAGTTTTGTTGATCATGCATAATGCCGTAACGAAACACCATAGTTTGCGCTTGTATTGAGCAACATTGATTAATATTAATATGTAAACGGTCGGGTTTACTTATACCCGACTTCAATCAACCGAAAATAAATAATTACGCATTACGAAGAAAATGAATACCTCCACAACATTTATATTATTAACAAACTTCAAACACGGTTCTGTAGCAAATGTCATGTACTTTGGAAAATGTAAATAATATGGCATTATAATGTAAATAAATTTTGTTATGG